TCTTAACCGATTTATTAATGTTCTTTTTTTTGCATATCTTCTGCATATCGGCTTTCTATAATAAAAAATTTTGACCTGTGTGAAGTACTTTGCTTTAGAATCTAAATCTAATTCTTTTCTTTTTACTAGGCTTTTGATACTTCTTACTTGCGTAGTTTTTTATTTACTATATTCTTTACTAAATACTACTTTGGCATTATCTGTCTCACAATTTGCCTATTTGAGCTTAATATTATTGTAATATACTACAAACTTTGAACTTCTTGTTAAGCCTTCTTCAGATTCAAAGTATACTGTTGCACTTCTTATTCTGTTATTGTTTATGTTTTTGAAGATATGTAATGCTTTCACATCTAATCTTCTAACTTGTCTTCATAGAAGAATTTTATTTGTATTTTCTGGTAAATTAAGAAGTCTTGTATTGAATCTATTTCTTGCATATAGTATATCATATTTGTTAACTCCTGCTGTTAATCTTACAAGTAAGTGATCACTAAAAAGCAAACACTATGTGTCATCTAGAAATCTTTTGTTGTATATATTTTCTTTAAATTCTACTATAGCTCTAGTCCTGCCTATAGAGCTTCTTATTATTTCAATATATTCAATTCTTTCTATATATCATACTATTTTAAAAATCTAGGATCTCTTTGTTCTGTTAAGTAAATTCTATATAGTAATTATATAAAAATCATTTTTGACTTCTTCAAAGCAGGTTTCTTGTCTTTTAGTAGGTACTTCATTACTTTTGCTTTTACAAATATTAGCATTTTTGTTTCTACTTCTGCATATATATATGGCTTTTAATTCTAATCTTGCTTACTCTTCTAATTCTAGTCTTGCTTACTCTTCTCTTTTTCTTTTTTCTTCATAAGTAGCATAATTCTCTTTTCTTTCTTCTTTGAGTATTACTTTTGATTTTAAAAGACTTATCTTCTCATTTATTTGCTATATATTACTTTTACTCCTCTTAGATTCTTTACTATTTTGGCTATTAGTTTCTGTTATTCTTGAATGATTTGTTTCTAAAATCTTCTCTTCCTTTATTAATTTAAACTGTTTGTATTCTTCTTTTCTTTCTGCTAATCTTTTTTGCGTATCTTCAAATCCTTCTCATAATTAAAAATTAGTACACATCATAAGTTTCCTTTAGAAAACTCTTTATATATTTTTTTTACATAAGAGTTTCTTCTTAGTATCTATTTTAGTAACTTTGCTCAATAATCTGTATTATATCTAAGTATATTTGCTGCTAAAACTTTTGCTCTTATATCTTTTGTATTTTCATATCTTTCTTTTCTTTGTGCTCAGATATTATTATCTAGTAATTTTATTAAATCTAATGTATCTTCTTAAGTTATTTTAATTCCTTCTATACTCTTTGTTATATTTTTAGTTGTTGTTATTGCTTTTGTTTCATGTTGAGTTTTAACTGAGATTATTTCTACTTCTATAAGCTCTAAACTAGATGATTCCTCTATATTTGTTGCTGCTGTTGTTGCCTCTGCTGTTTTGGCTGTTGCTGTTTTTGTTGCTGCTGTTTTTGTTGCTACTGTTTTTGTTGCTGCTGTTTTTGCTATTGCTGTTGTTGCTGCTGCTGTTTTTGTTGCTGCTGTTTTTGTTGCTGCT